GCAATAAAGAGAAAGAAAGACCATAAGATAGAGCAGTAAGTAGTTACCGAATGGAAGAGTATGGTTTCTGTAATCGGTTACAGTTTGATGTGGTGATGTGAAAGTAGAATACGTAGTCAACATGTTTGCAGGAAGAGGGTATAGCGACCTTATATTCTTGAATAAGGAAAACTCGTCGGTAGATCATTCTGGTATTTTTAACGGGATACCAAAATGCACTAGTTGGCAGAATAATACTGACCTCACATAGCAGATTTCTTCCCTGCCTCCTCTTGGATCGTTTTTCATTTACTGTAGTCACTGTGCTATTGTATCTATCAAAAACCAAAAATAAGTTGGCAAGGGCAACGGTGTTTGGGGAGTTATCCGCGTGATAAAAGTACCCGTAAAACAACAGCACTTAAAAATAATCCTATGGAAAGGAACAGAATTTTCGAAAGTTGCGGTGATAGAAGTTGTTTTAATTCAGTCTTCATCCCACGAAATAAAGAAACAAGATAAGTTCAGTGAAAAGGAGTTCGGAAAATTTCAGATTGCTTGTTTCACTATGCACAAGGAAGCCAGTAGGTTCGTCAAAGTGATTCTAATGGCCAAAACAGTGTACAAAGAACTAAAATAATGGTGAATACCTCAAGAAGAATTTAATCCAGGAATTAATAAAAATACCGTTAATGCATGCCAGTTCAAATTTTGTAAAATGTCTAGGACTTGTTAAAAAATAGGAATAGCAGCCGTTAAGGATCAAGCATGTTATAAATGTGGCTTTAATGCTGTTTTCCCCGTAGTAGAAAGCTTTGTGAGACTTAAATTGCGGCTACCGGTATGCATAATTCTCGTGATTCTTGACGTTTAGAATAAAAAGGCATATGGCAAACCCTCAAAAATGATATAACGGAGAAGACTTGTAATTTAGAAATTGACTTTTCGTCATCAATCATTCACTAGTTAAAGGAAGTCTTATGAATCATGGAAATGATATAGTTGCTACTTTTTAGTCGCCTTATCCTTCTGAATCGCTTGATCACTAACTACCCTTCAGTGGCCATGGTACCCTGTGTCGTAGAGACTCCACAAGGTATCATAATTAAACCATTCAGGCGACAGAATACAACTAGTACCGAGACCAGTTGACAGCTGCGCTGCCAGTCTGGCAGCGAAACGCTTATTTTATACTAACCGCTTATGTTTTAGACCTCGTAAGGTACTAGTGGCACTATTCGTCAGCTATTCTGTATCGGCTGTTATCAAATTTAGTTTGCCTAACCGCCATGTAAATCAGTACTTTACCCATCTTATATTTACTGGTGACTAAATGCAAATCAAAATGACTCAGTTAATAAGTGGTGCGCTCTGATAAACAATAAATTTGAATTAGATATGAAGTCACCATTATTCAGGGAAGTGTATTCAGAAGTTACCTAGCTAGTGTGGCCGAGTTATAGAATCCAAGTATATGCATGTTAAAAGCACAAGGGAAGGGTGCAAAACGATGTTTGAGGCAGGCGCTAAAACAGATACTTGAAAGATTGGAAGATGCACCAGAACCTAAGGCGAGGAGGATGGAAGACAATCAGATAAATTATTAAAATGTAGTCAGTGTCTTCAAATATGCTCCAAGCTATGATTCAGAAAACCGGATCGGGTTTTACCCCAGCAGTTTGCCCTGGCGTGTGATTCATTCCATATATTCGAGAATCAGATTCTTATAGCTTGATACTCACTATTGTACCTCATTTCGATTCATGGGTAACTTAATTTGTCACTCTCTTTGACCATATAATTTCATGTGTTTGGCGTAAACACATTTTCAGTATTCATATGTTCAGTCACCAGACTTCTCAAAGACGGCAATGCTCCCCTCCATCTGACTCCTTCACCTCCTTTTTCCCCCCACATAGATATACTTGGTCTGTCAAGCATATGAATAATATTAGACTTCATTAAGAGGAATCAATGTCATTGGTAGAACGTGATAAAAAATTTCCACACAGGGCTTTAATATTAGTTCATTAATGTAATAAAAAGTTAGAATAACAGAACTAGTTAGTTAGTGTATCAACAGGAGTCATGGTTTCTCCACAAAGTATGTAGACATTATTTAGAAGATTCCTTGCTCCTCTTTCTGCACTGCTTTAGTTTGTCTTCTTTTCTCTCCCACCACTTTAGCAATTGTCTTACTTTCTGAATGATGGTTAATTATTTAGATATTCGGCTATTCGAAATAAAAAGAGATCTGCAAACCTTGCTGGTCTCAGATCTCACAGTGGCCTTGCTAAACGCCCATTACTTGCTTCTGCGACGCATCCTGGCTGACAGTTGTGGATTATTACCTTTATGCCAATGAAAATCCAGATCCCTATCTGTATGGCGCCAGTAAATCTAGTAATTTAAGAAATGCCGAAAGCATTCTGATGGTTGCTTTTATAGTCTCACTGACTCGTGAGATGATGATTACCAGCTCCTTCATGCTCTACTTGTCTTTTGATATGGAGTATTTCGCCATTATTCTAGTTCGTTGCGGCGTATGGACTGAAAATTACCTGGTACTATGACAATAATTGTTTGTACGATTGGCTGTGCCTGCTGCTGTGGTGAGTTGCTGCAGTTAAATCTGCTAAAAACATTGTTATCTGCATACTTGATGACACCACTGCTGGAGAAGGTGTGGAAAGAGGGCAAGGTACCTGCAGAATGGAAGAAAGGCTACTTATTCAAACTATCAAAGAAAGGAGACTTAAGTCAATGCAGGAACTGGCGCGGAATTATGCCGAGCAAAATACGAAGCAGTATCATCCTAGAGAGAATAAACCCGTGCTGGATGAGAAAATTCGACTGGAGCAGGGTGAATTCAGGAGAAACAAGTCAAGCATCGATCAAATCGCAACATTAAGGATCATCATTAAACAGAGCTTGGAATGGCGGTCAACTCTTTATCTGAACCTCTGCGTCGATCGAGGGGTGATTTGCCAACTACTTCGCTACTACGGGGTGCCGCCAACAATTATACATCTCATCCAACAGTTGTACGACAAAGCGGTGTGCCAAGTAATCAACAACGGGAAACTCACGGAATTCTTCAAAGAAGTGAAGGCGGGAGTAAGACAAGAGTGCCTACTATCTTTAATTTTTCTCCTGACTGCGGCAGACTGGGTAATGCGAAAGACAGCGGGTAGCGAGGAAACAGGCATAAAATGGACCCACAGAAAAACATTTCAGGATCTGGACTTCGCCGATGATATATGTCTGATTTCCCACAAACTGGAGGATATGCAAGTGAAAAGCAACAAGTTGGCAGAAGCATCAAAGACAGGCACTCAGGTGAACACAGAGAAAGCAGAGGTGATGAAGATTCCTGGCCAACAGCAACAGCAAGAACAACAGACAACAATCACCATAAATGGGAGAGATCTGAAAGGAGTAAACGCCTTCGCCTACCTACCTGGGAAGCCTCGTTTGAACTACAGGCGGAACTGATGAGGATATCAAGGCAAGCTTTCATTTCTCTCAAGTCTGTATGGAGGTCAACAGCACACTCAGGATGAAAAATTGGGTTTTCAACTCCAATGTGAAGTCAGTGCTACTATACGGATCAGAGACTTGCACTGCGCGTCATAAAGAGCATCTCAAACAAACTACAGACCTTCATCAACAGCTGTCTTCGCTAAATACTACTGAATATCAGATGGCCGACCTGAAAAGATCAGCAATAGTGAGGGGTCTTTGGTAGCGAACCAACCAGGAACCAACTGTGCAAAAAATATCCAGGAAGAAATGGAGGTGGATTGGCCATACTCTGAGGAAACCATCAAGTGACATCACCAGACTAGCCATAGCTCGAGTGGAACCCGAACGGGAATCGGAGAGTTGGTCGTCAGTTCGAGGGTGACATGGAGGAGGTGATGTGAAGAGGAGGTGAAAACATGTGGGTAGATGTGGAGCCAGGTGAAAAAGCTGGTAGAGAACCGAACTCAATGGATCTACAGGAAGCAATAATAATATATAGTAGTCTGCAGACCAATTAAAGTTTTCAATCTACCATACCTATCATCAGTAACGCAACCATCAAATAGGACGCTCATTTTAGTCAAATTTCTTCTATGTAGATGCTTATTATGATACTATGTACATTGCCTCCACCTGTGTAAAGTGAACTTATAGATGTTATTCCATAATGTATTTTTATATCCTGTTTAGATACATGATTTTAAATATGCTTCTCCATGCAAATATTATTCATCACACTGATAAGGGCAAGTGTCAGAATACTTACTCCATTCAGAGATAGACACTTAATTTATATGAAGCTCAGGACTTGTATGTAAACACATGTCATTTGTTTTTAAAAACATCAGGGTTGTTACCTGTAAGATACAGACGTGATGGCTATTAGTAATCTTGAGCCCCCAGTGTGTGTGCAGGAGCGATATACTGCACGCCTACTCTGGCCTGTTTAATCCTTATCTGGTTATAGAAACAAAGGTTTTGTTAATGATTCTTATTATTCTTATTCTTAAATGCCTTATCATATTATTCAATTTAATTGGCCTTCTATTTTTCATATAAAGTGATTTGATAAGTAGATATGTGAGCAGGTTGTTCGAAATGTATTACGTGAACGCACCATACTTTTCAGATAATTCCTTTCCCGCAATAATAATATCCAAATTTATTCAGACTACTAACTGTTTTGGTTCTAATGTACCTGCACTTGTTGTATTCGATAGAGTCAGGGGTCAACGGAGTACATTTTACTGAAGCACTTCAGAGTCCTGGAACTGTCTCTAGATAATAAGAAAGGAATAATTAAGTTTGTACTAGGTCAACAAAAGTATGTCCCATGTGAAGTACATCATAAGGTAAGGTATAGCTTTTCATCCCATGTGCTTAGTGTTACATCGCGTAAATATGGAAATTATTAACTTCATAGACAGTGAAGAATCTCTTTGGTTAGAAAGGAAAAAGTATCACGTGGTGTTGTTAAAATTCACCAATTGTTTAACGGTCTGTAGATTCAGCCTTATTTGATGAGAAGGTCATCGAACTAGTCAGGGATTTACGTAAATTCTCTCTTCAAATCTCACTAGTGAAGAAATGAACTAAAGATATGCCTGTGGTTATTATTATGGTTCACGAAGTATACAATGAGATATATATTCCCATCATATCCACCAAACCTTTTTCGTTCTATACAAATTTGTAAAATATGTTCACTGCTGTGTATATTTATCATTACTCTCAAAATCTGCTTTTGCTCTACAGACAGTAATTTTTCTGTTCAACACAATGCTACTGTTAAACCTGACTTGTTTGATTTCTCTCAAAGTAAAAAGAAGGCGTTGTATACTCCCTACTGGGCCGTGGAAATTAAAGGTGGAGAGGAAGCTGCTCGTGCTGTAGCTGAGAAATATGGGTTTCTGTATCTTGGGGAGGTGAGTGTTTTCGTTTTCCATCATTCTAGATTTAAGTGAGATGAATAGTTATGATTTTGCGCTTTGTTAGTAGTGTTCACTGTAAACTAATTTTTTGGTTGTGTTATACGACTATGTGTTCCAACGAAATATTATTCTCACGTATTCCTACAGTTCAATACTGCATTAGCAACAGAATACTATAATTATTTGAATATTTTATTTCATGTAGTTTAATGTAAACCAAAATCACAAGCTCAGTTATTGGTTAAAGAATATAAACTTTATAGATATAAATGGCTGTCTGGCCACTTGAAAATATACCTTGGCTTCCGTGTCTTGCCTTCTGCTGTTACAGTTTGTCCGATAGCTTTTTAAATGCCAGGAGTTATGAAAAATTGAGAATAGTTATTGTTTTTAGTGTGGAGTAGAAGTGGGATTTTTTTTTACTGAGAAGTGTCTGAGACTTTGCGGTCACAAATAAAAATTTCAAAGTTTGTGGTAGTTAAGTCTTAAGAAGTTTTCAGAGGACACCATCCAGAGGTTTGTGATTCATCTTTATGCCCACCTAAAGTTCCTAAGTTGTTCCTTTTACATATTTGAGTATTCTATGCCATTGTTGCTTATCAGTAAGTATAGCTGTATCATCCAGGTTTGATCTCATCCTTCTATTACTTTACTCATTCAGGAATTTATTCGGATGAAACTTTATAAAAAGCGGTTGTTTTCACAATCCATCAACATATCACCTTTCAGATAGTTATCGACTCTCGCCTGACGTATGATGAAAGGTAAAGAGAAAATACAATCTAGAAATGTTACTCAAGATAAGTGGTCTGGCGATGGATTTTTGAGTTTGATATTCCCGTAGTTATATGTCTCCTTTGTGGAATGCGTCATATAATATATATATCTTCCATCACTCTCCAGGTGTTTTCCTCACAAAAGTAAAAGGGCGAATGTAAACGTCTGCCGTTTACAACCGGTATTGGTGTTGCTGGAAATTCCTAATTCCCAACTCCGGTGTGCTTAGGCCCCAGCTTCCGAGAGGATGACTTATGAACCTATTTTGGTCATCGGTAACCATAGGAGCGTAGTTTTTTATGCTGATTCACTGACTTTTAGCTCTGACTTTGAGTGAAGGGCGTGGAGTTACTCCTTATAATGTTCAAGCAGTATGTCAGACCTTTCACAAACTATAGTATTTTGCATTGCTTTTCTCTTGGTGCCTATGATGTACTCATTTTGTATTTTTATAATGACTATATATATATATATATATATATATATATAGTCCTCGTTGACAGGTTTCCTGTTTCATACTGGCGACCACTTAATAGTCTATCATTTGACTTTGGTGTGTCATTCATTTGTAAGGTCCCATTGTTAACAGTCGTAACTAATCTTAGGCATAACTGAAAAGCTTTAGTTTAGCTTCTGTGTAGTGTTTGTGGTGAGTAAGACATATCTAGTAATAGTTGGACAGGCTGTTGAAATCAGCTGCTATTTAGCGGAAAAGTAATAGTTACATATAGTTGAAGAAGAAATGCTAGAAATCTCTGTTGTTCTCACATTAGAAATATAACATCTACCAAGCCTTTATTACCCTGTATCCACTGTAAAATTGTCGTTTTATTGGTTTCAAGGAATTCCCAAGACGGAGTGAATTTCTTAACTTTGTTTAAGGAATTCAGGTCATTCGTATCTTCACTATCATCTGATTTAATCACTGAAGTGTTATGTGTGACGTTTTGTCAAGATAGGTGGTTAATTTTCATGTGTTTCGTCTGCATAGCTCTCCATGTCTGATTAGAAATTTAAAGCTGTACAGGTCTTTCAGTTCCAACACGTTAAACTCAATGTCTTTAGTTTAGTTACCATCGTAGTGTTTAAGGAGACTTAAGTGCTTTAGATCAGGTCTTTGGGATTTTCTTCCATATTAAAATATTATTGGACAAGTGCCTGAACTTTTCGAACAACAACAAATTAGTGTACATTTCAAAGTGTGCTTATCACTTATATCATAATCTGATTAGCTGTTAAAACGAAACACATTGCTGATGAGATTATGTGCTCTTTTATTTACTGTCACTTCTGTCATGTGAACGTAATAATAATAAGCCTATCTTGATATTACCGATGTTGGTCCTTCTTGTATTTGTGCAGAAAAAGTGATGAGTGGGGATATCTAGATCTTGCGGTGATTATATTCTACCGAAAATTTAACACGCTTTTCGTGTACTTTGCTTTGTACGACACTATTAATTGTTTCCCTTATGGCATACGTTTTTAGATTTTACCTGGAATTTATCATTTCAAACATAATCGCCTTTCCAAGAGATCAGTGAGACAAAACAATTTTTACCATGACCAGTTAGCCAATGATGAACAGGTACGTCTGGATGTTTCATGTTCTTTTGCTTAATGGAACTTCCTTTTTTAATGTTTTTATTTGATAAAATATCAGGTGAGTTCGATGATGACTAATTACAACACCTCAGTGTTACCCGTAGATTAACTGTCACGTGTAACGAGATATCTTTATACAAGTTAGCATTTTATGAGTATTCAAAAATTACTATCTAAAAATAACTTTGGGAATGTTTATTACATATGCCTACACGTGTTTGGTTGTAGGATTTCATCATGAACTGACGTCAGTTAGAAAACCATAGGAAAACCTGCAGGGAGTACTGGACATCTCTTTCGTCCTAGTTTGAAACTCTTCATCAGTACGCACCCATCACAGGGGGTTCGAACCCAGGGCTTTCTGGTTACAAGTGTTTTTCCTATTATATGTCTTTCCGTGATTTGGAATTTCTGTAGTGTTTGGGTTGTTTTTTCTGTGTACAGTCTCTAACTCCGCTGTAAAGCCCTCTTTTTCTCAGGCTAGTGACCGGATAGTAAACTGAATTTTAGCTTCCCCGTCTGCTGTCGGACCCTGAATCTTCTGAATGGGAGTACGGTGAGGGAGGACTTAATACCTAATATCAGTCACGAAGTGTTGCATCTGAATAAGATGTTGAAGGCTATCCGTAAGATTTTTGTGAAGTGTATTCACTTGTTCGAGGAGATAATGGAGGATAAGGAGGACTACTAGAAGTTCTGTGAGTAGTTCTGTAAGAACAATAAGCTTGGGATCTATGGAGATGGTGTGAACAAGAAGGGAAGCTTGCTGATTTCGTGGTTCTGTTACATCACATTTTCTTATTTCTTATTTTTCATTACTGGTACCTATAAGTTTTGCCACTGAGTTCTTTTTTAAGGCTTTAGCGCAGCTGTGTATAGTGGGTGATATTCTAAAAAGCTGGGCCTACTGATTTAATTTTGGTTTCATCTTGAAATTCTAGCATCTTGTTTTTCTGTTTTTACTTTAACCTCTTGCCTGTGTAAATCCTGATTTGCTTCAGTTGGCCTAGTTGACTTACTTGTACGCTTTGAAACCTCAGTAATTTGAATTGACCTATTAGTAAGCTGTTACATACTTCCTCAATGAAATTAATTTGCTTTCTAATATACAGTTTCACATATTTTTGTGAATAATTTTTAATAAGGAATGCGTTCCAGCAATTCTTATAACAATAAATTGCAGTTTCATAAAATCATCCAAAGTGTGTTTGATTATCTGATGAATCAATTTAAATCCTTGCACAAGTCTGCAAAACAATCAATTTATGCTCGTGTATGTATCTGTTAGTCTTAGATACTCTAATTTGTATACAAATCTTTAATTTATCACCTCATTAAGCTTTGTTGTTATCTAAACTTTTGATAAATATCCTATGTGATTTGTTTGTAAACAAGTATTCAACCATAACTTCTTGTTGTTGTTGTTGTGTGCTGCTGCTCAGTAATGATTACTGTTCAGAAAAAAGGTATCTGAACCCTCTGAACAGAAGAGGTAGTCATAAAAACATGTCTCTGTTACTCATGTTTTTTATTGTGATGTTTATCCCTAATGCTTTCTGCTGATATGTGTGTGTGTTCTACTAGTCTTATCTTGCTAGATTATTCTTACTAAAGGTCTATCTTCATTCATTTAATACTTTTAGCTGATATTTTCTATTATTTGTTCTTCTTTGAGCACTAAAGAATTACTTCTATTTTAAAAATTTTTTATCTTCTATAGGTTTGGTTTTGTGTTTAATGTTGGCGTATTTCCTCTCCCACTGTCGTTGTTTCACTTATTTTGAACTAATTTACAACATATATGTATTGTTTGTTGAATAAAATATATGTGAAATAAGTTAGTAATGCACTTAATAATAATAATAATAATATAAAAACGCTTATTCTTTTTACCGATTTGTACATAATAAGTTTTATTATCGAAGTAGATTGTTCTCAATAAAACTAGCTCACTTACTCATTTTTCTGGCTACTGGTAAGTGAGAAGTATGTACGCTTTAATTAAGTGATGATTTTAATTTATCTGGCTTATATTAGTACTCGTGAAACAGTAGAAGACGAGAGAGACTTGGTAAAGGAATGTTTATTCGGAAATTGGTATCCCCAGATAACCAAATTATGTATACCTTATCTGAAACGCACCATTTGCACTTATCTTCGTGTTGTGGTGCTTCTGGACTTCATTTTGTGTTTCTTTGTGTTGCTTTCACGTCTGCCATATATCTCTTCAACGCTGTATCATTTGATTTCTTTGAATTCATCAAATCTATCTACCTGCTATTTGATGTTTTTGTGTGCCGATGAACATCTCTTTATATACTACTGATAAATCTTATCAGTAGCACTCGCCACACTTGTACTTTTCTGAGTTTCTCTGTGGAAAAAACATCTATAGTTCAGGGTGTTGAGGCTGTTGTAAAAATTAGAGTGTATGTGAAATGACTTTTATCTTTACTGTTATGAATTCTGTGTGTGTCTCTGAATTGTTTCATCAAAAGTCATCGATGTCATGGTTTTCAGCTTATTTTAATTTTTCCTTCTTCATATTCACTGTTCACATTTTTTACTACTGAACTAGAGAAAAATCTAAAAAGCACCTGACTCTTTGTATGTATAGAAAGTTATCAACAACTTAAAATAAGGTCTCATTTTGGTATGAAACCAAGCTGTTGTATACACTAACAAACTATCTCATCACAGCTGGAACAGCTAGGGAGATTCAGACGACTTGTTAATAGTACATAGTAGAAAAATGACTTACAATTTGAATACAGAAAGCAATGCCAAGATATACATGTATTCGCATAGTTTAGCGTCTTTCTTCCTAAATGGAAGTATTACCGTAACAAATAGTCGATAGCCCAACCCTTTCTTTGCTTATATTTTTGAAAAAAATTGTAATAACGTCGCATATTCTAAGATAAAGAAATATAAATATATACACACATATCTATTGTATGTTCATGTGTATAACGAAAGATGCGAGTCGCTCACTTTCTGCTTGAAAAAATATACTTTTTGTTAAAAAAAACGAACGAAAATACGCATCTGTTCCTCTGTTCGTTGTTAGTTCTAATTGAAAAAGGATGTTGAAAGTATGCAAAGAATTCGTAGAAAGTAAACGTATGCTTTATTTCAAAATTGTATAATATATATGCTATCGTGATAAGAGTAAAGTAGTATGTTGAACTGGTTAACATATGTATGTCTAGATATATTGGTCGGATTGTTTGTCGCAGCAAAGTCAATTTAGATGCTTTCATGATTACAGTTGATGAGATTATACGGCCGCGTAGTATGAATTGATAAGATTTCACGGCGAGCATAAAAGCAATCGCGAAATGTTTTCACGCATAGTATAGCAAATGCCAAAACAAATGTTTTTAAAAAAAGTTGATAAAACACTTAAAAAACAACAAACGGTAACATCTGATATGATTGCAGCATTCCTCTAAGCACGTAATAGCAACTATCACCTTTGTTCTACCCATTCAAGTGGACGAAAATGAAAAGGAATCAGATTTGTTTTTATTGTAACTTATATACTCACCCACAATTTCATTATATCATCATCAAAGCAAATGTACGATCCAACTTCACTTTCGGATGATTTAATGCATTGTTCGGTCCAAGTACTTAAGTTCCCATAACCCATTAAATCAGAAAAAAGAAAACTTTCTTAGATTATTCATTGACTGGCAACTTTCATTTTCACGAGTTGATCACGGATTGATATCAGTTAGAGAACCATTGAAAACCAGGGAGTACTGGACAGCTACTGTTTCATCACTGATATCAATCCGTGACCAACTTGTGAAAACATAACTAACCTTTACAAACCAAACTATAGAAAATTAATCTGATGCTCGCTAGTGACTTGCTACAGGTTGGAGTTTCCTGGAGTTCTAGTGAGAAGTCGTGACCAGTGAGGTCCAATTAGATGTCACGTGTGTGGATGGATGTTCCCACCAACGACAATGGTTAGGGTTGCGCTAAATCACGAATTGGTATAAGTTAGAATTCATGAGCCATTGAATCGGATCCCAGTGGCTGAATGGTATACGAGCTTGCCTTGTAACCGGAAGGTCCTGGGTTCGAATCCCAGTGGGTGCGTACTGCCGATGATTCCCAGACTAGGATGAAACAGTAGCTGTCCAGTACTCCCTGGTTTTCAATGGTTCTCTAACTGATATCAATCCGTGATCAACTCGTGAAAACATAACTAACCCCTACAAACCAAACTACAGAAAAAACTTTCATTTTATTATACCTTCATTCTACCACACCGTAGTTTTGGTACAAGTATGGAATTTTCAGCATGTGATATCGGTAGCCCAAATTTAGCTGACCAACCATTGATATCAGGTGTGCATCGGCCGGGGATCGAACCCCGGACCATGTACATGGTCGGCGAGCGTCCTAACCACTGTGTCACTGACTTGAGAATTTAATTTAATGTATTGTGATGTCGTTATCAAAGGTGTATAATTTCTCAAGTAAACCGATGGAATATGTACGTGAAATTATTTGAAGAGTATTCATTGTTCAGTGTGATATGAAGAAGAGTATACAGATAGTGAAAGATGTGTATGCGTCTAAAAATCTAGAAGATATTATAGGATAGAGGAAAGTTATGCGGTAATTTCATACTAATAGTACTACCCATGTTGCAATCTATATTAATAAATAATTGCTGGTGGTTACATTTAGAAAACCTGACTGTCTTTTATCTCCCTCTTTATCTATCATCATTGTCGTCTGTTTCAAGTTGTCTTCTGTTAGCATTTAAACACATATGGTTCTGCCATTATTCAGATTATGACTGACTGTTTGAATTATCACGGCAGTTAAGCAGAAACACCTCCACCCATACTCTAATCGTTTTTTTCTTTTTTCATTATCCTATTGCGTTCATAAACGTTCCGTATTGCTTTGTGCGGCTTATTCAACTTAAGAAACTTTAAATCGAAATGATTATAGGTT